CCATCCACGGGCCGGGACAGACGCCGGACCCTGCGGCTGCGTTACCGCTCAGCAAGGGCCCCCCGCATCTGGCTGCAGCACGCCTGGAGGAGCAGCATCGCCCAAGTGTTGATGGTGAAACACCTCAGGAAGTTTTCCCTACCTGGGGGTTTCTGTGCCCCCTTCTAGCTTTCTAAAAAAGCCCTGCTCCAGCTCCCCCAGGGCCTAGGAAGCCTCTGCTCTCATCCCTGAAGCGCTTGGCCATGCAGCCACTGGAAACCTGAAGGCTGCTTCTGCTCCTGGAATTGGCTGCATTCCCCCTGGTGCTGGAACTGCTGGCAGCTGCCTTTCTCGCTTTCTTTTTCCCCTTTTTTTTTTTGAAGGCACTCCTGATCACAGGGATCTCATCACGGAAACTTAGTACAGCCTCAGACTGGAGCTGGCGTTAAGAGAGACGGACGCTTTCAGAAGATGCAGTGACTGTACATCCTGTACCAATTAAACACATCGTTTGCTGAGAATTTGCTTTGATGAGCACGATACACAATGCAAACACTTCCACAAAGTACGAGAAAGACGCGGACAGGATAGAAGGAAGGGAGCTGCTGGGGTTTCCCTCCCCACCTCACACTGACTCGGTGTCCAGGCTCGCCCACAAGCCCCACGACCCCCAAGGGAGAAGCAGCCCCATCTCTGGGTAGGATTTCACATCCCTGCAGTCCCTGGCACTGGCCACGACACGGCCATTCACACACTGCGACAGTCCACTCAGATTTAAAATGAAGACTGAGACTATATTCTATATTCTTTCATTTTCTATTTAATATTGTTGCATTACTTACGCCTGTGCTTTGCCCTAAAGCAGAAAATTTTAAACTGGCAACAAAAAGTAGCAGCTTCTGAAGATGGTGTTAGGAATGCCATTAAATCTGCATGTGGACCAGTTTTTTGGGGTTTTTTACTATTGACAGAGATTGTGGAATGAGTAGACAAACTTGTTATCATGTACGACACCAGGAGCACAGAGATTTCTCCCCAGAATAGGAGATGCAGAACAGCGAGATGATTTCTCCCTGTTCTTCAGCATTTTTCATGTGCCTGCTCCGCGAAAAGACCTGCTATTTTTTTCCCTCACTGCTTTCCAGAGTGGGTAGAAAATATTAACAGAGGCAGGTAAGCCACGTCTGCTTTGGCAGACAACCACTGATCCTCTGCCTCCAAGCTCACCGCTTAAGCAGAGAACGCCCTTCTCCTGGCCACTGGCTTAATGCTGGCCCTCGAGTGATCGAACTCGTCACCGCTGTCATTGTTTTCGAGGAGCAGGCAGGGTATTATGCTGGTGCTTCACAACTGGTATCGAACTCGTCACCGCTGTCATTGTTTTCAAGGAGCAGGCAGGGTATTACGCTGGTGCTTCACAACTGGCCAGGCTTTCACCACGTTGAGATTGAATCCAAATTTTCATGTCAGTTATACTACAGCGATTTGTTAAACCCAGGGTCTGAATGGCTTACCTGTGCAAGCTGTGACCTTGTCGAGTACCGACTTGTCACTCCAGTGACAATGCTCGCTACCGAACTTGAACCAAGTTCAAATCTGCCAAAAAGAATCACCCACACTCAGAAAATGTCCATTTCTGTAGAAAGCAGAGTTTTAGAGTACAATTGGCTAGAGAGAGAGACGTAAAGCCACTTATGTTCCTTACTTTTCTACAACTTTCTCCCAATTTTCTTTTAAAAACGTCCAAGCTAGATGATGGCCAGATGGGTTTTTGCCAACATGTACAATAATATGTGGAAGATCCTGAGTTCTTACGATGTCACCACGCAGACCTTCATCCATCAGCCTGAGAATTGATAACAGAAATGGAAGTTGCTTAGGCCAGTAGATAAAGCTGACAAATCACTATACCCTTAGCACGTGGTACTGGGGTTGAGAGTTCACAGCCCTAAAGGTCCTGACACATCGTTTCTGCCGGGTCACTTCCAGCTTTTCACGACGCGCTCCTCGGCCACATCCATGTGCCCCATTTCTGTTACTTCCACAATTCCAGTTACGTGGCAGACCTGTATTCTGAATATTCAGGACAAAAACAAGGCTACATTTCGCTCCTACTCAGAATTTCCAGGCTAACAACGAGCCTCACTCCTCCCTCTCTAATAAAGGTTTTTGTTCTACGCTGCCAGTGGGAAATTCAGGCCTGCAAGTGCTGCTCGTGCCGAAGGCGTCCAAACAGCACTGCCATGGCAGGAATGAAAAAGAACAGAACGAAACAGCAGCAGCGTGTCTGCAGCAGTGTCTGAACGCAGTTAAATCAGTGTCCCGTGCTGTCACCCCCACCAACAGGCAGAAGCCACGGAACGTGCGGTTTGAAGCCTGAAAACCTCAGAGGTGCTCAGCCCTCCTAACAGCAGGAAACCGCTGATTTTTACGAGAGATGTACAGCAGGTGTACCTATAGCCAAAGTAACTACAAAGGTAAATAAAGATGTGTCTGTCAGGCAGAGATAAGGTATCTGAACAGCTGTTTTATTGTATTTCGCCCCAATTTGCTCGTGCAAATTCTGAGCGCGTTGACTCCCAGCCCCAAAGCACAGCAACGAGAAGGTCCAGGCAGTTCCTCCCACCGTGTTAAAAAGCGGTGACACAAGGCTCTGAATAATTCTGTTTCCTTTTTCAACGTTCCTGAACCTTCCCCAAACGCATCTCTGCTCTGTGTAACTACTCACCACTGAAGTTTGTCCTTACTCCCGCTGAGGCTGAGAGCTAATTCAATGTTCTGCCTCTCCACGCTGAACGCGTGCAGTCTGTATTTACTGAGGAGGAAATCCCAGCCTTCGGATGTTTGTGCCCCAACGGCATACACCGCTGTCTTCACATCTGCTGGCAAGCTACGACAAACCAAACACCAGGTTACTCTCCACATCACACTGAGGAATACAGGCAGGAACACAACCCTGCCACCACCACACGTCAATGGGCACAGCAGACAACTCGTTACAAAACACCGGTCCCTTCGGGGCGTTAGAAAGTGATTCCTGTGGCCGGGAAGAAACTCAGATATCTCAGGCTGTATCTCAGTATTGTTCCTGCCTTGGAAATGGCTTCCAGGAATTCTGGACTCTCTGTTCATTTCTTTTTTTCTTCTTTATTTTTGTATATTCCTCCCATGGCTATGCCCAGTCAGATACCGATAACGGTCTTCTTTGGCCTGCCCAGAACAATCTCTCAGAGATTTTCTGGAAGGTGTTTTAGAGAGTTCTTGTGTCATGACGAGAAACAAAAATTAGGTGAAGTCCATGAACAGTAGTCACCTATTTTCACAGCGGGTACAGGTCTATCTTCAGACGTATAAATGAGGGAATACATGGTATTTTCACTTTTCAGAACATCTTTAACCACCCAAGCTGTGGAGTACCACGATGTATGTGCTAGTTTGGGCCCGTATCGTGCACCAAACTGAGAAGGCACTGGGAAGCTGAAGTATAAGATACAAAACTAAGAAGGTCCAACTTCAGAGTGCAGAAAGGACTCAAGTTTAACTGTTTTCATAAATTATCTCTAGTGTAGTTAAACAGAGTATCAGAAAAAAACAGTAATAGTTACAGAACAGACCTCAAGGTTCCGTTGGACTGCTGCCACTCTCTAAAATACGCTCGGGCTCTGTCGAGGCACGGCTGGTACCTGTGCACGCAGGCAAACAGCAGCAGCGAGTGCCGAAGCAATCTCTCGGACACGGAGCCTTCATCACTCCAGGACTGCTTGTCAATCAGGTCTTTAAATAGGTTGACTATATACTCCTAAAATAAGGTAACAACAAAGATGTGTTTTAAAGTGCGTTTTACAGGGTACAGGCAGAGTTAGAAAGTTTTAGATACTTAAAATGTTACCTTTAAGTGTTTTTCTGTACCATCCACATCCCTCCTCTCTATAAGCCTGTATATAGGAATCAGCTCGCTCATACCCTGGAGTACAGGCATGATTTGTCTTTCATGTTTCAGGTACAAAGTTAAATCAAAAGCTTTGGAAATCGACAGTTTTTTTATTCTAAGGAAGTAGAAGAGAGGGAATAAAACAAGTTAGAATTAAACCTAAAAGGCAAACTTGAAAGCAAAATCCAAGCCAAATGTTTTTCAGAAAACGGTACAAACAGGAAAGCCTTAAGGGTATTTCCAAATCCCTCTTCACTTTGCTTTTTGAAGCGAAATGTGGCTGAGCAGCTACATAGGCTATGAAACCTAATATTTAACCTTTGAACTAAGAAATGGAGTAGAAGAGAATGATTAAGAAAGATTCATTTCTTCCCCCCATCTCTCCTGTGGCAAGGTGACCCCAGCACAGCCTCTCCCTCTTGCTCTCTCCCCACTACTGCTTTTGCTCCACAAACCACACACACACAGAAGAAGTCCAATGACTGAGCTCATTTCCTCCTGGGCAGCACCCTTCCAGCTCGACCTGCAGGTATTTAGCCTGTGGTAAACCTCAAAGCTACAACCCCAACTGCTTCTTCGCTGTCTTTACCTGACTTTGCAAACTGTCTTCTGTCTCTGGCAGGACATATCTCAAAAATTTCTTCCAAGAGCAAACAGAGGAAACTCAAGACATCTTTTCTCACTCTCCTTGTTTGTTTTTTCATCCTTCTGCAAAACCTTTTTTCCGCTTCCTTTCCAGTCAGCTCCGTGCACACATTCTCACTTTGTCCTTATCCACCTGCCTCTTCTGCCTCAAAACACAAGCGTGTTCTAGTCACCCACCATAAACTGAACCCTGCTAAACCCAGTTTGCTCTCTGTCCCTTCCTCCTTTGCTAAGTTCCTTGAACGTGCTGAGCAACCTTTCTTCACGCTCCTCTTTTCTCTTCAAATCAGAAAGACTTCTCTTCTGCTGTCCAGATTATAATCTTGACCAGCCCTGCTGGCATCGCCCTGTGAGCTGCCACCTCAAACTCATACAGTATTAACCCTCCCCCAGCCCCACCACCCCACTTTCGTAACGCATGCATAGAGCTATGGCTAATCACGACCGTAACCCCGTCACACCTTTACCACTGTAGCAGCCTTGTCTGTAGCTGGCAGACGGCACCAGTGCCTTTCCTGGTGCAAAACCACTATCCCAGGCCCCCCTTCACGCTGGCATCCTTCCATCAGAATGCCTTTTTGAACACGACACCTTTCACTAGATAGGCTAAATACATAAATCCTCTGCAGTCAAGAGAAATCCCAAGTTTACACTTCTGTAAGCAAGAAAAGAATACGCTCTCAGTCTGTTTAACAGATCTAACGAATGCTACCTGCGTTACCAACACTTCCTTCCTCAGCAGCGTGTACCCATAAATACCGAGTTTGTGTTTTTGCCAGGCTTGGACAGAAGGCCTTACCTCACAAGCTGGAATACGTTGTTAATGAGACTGGCTCTGTCGTTGCTGCTAATCACTGTATGGTTCTCTTTCAACAGGTTAATCAGGTGATCCCATCCATCATCTTCGTAGTGCACAATGTAATACCCATTCATGTCCACGTTGAATTTAATCCAATCCACCTTTTCCGGAAGGATAATGACATCTGGAAACAAAATGGAACTCCTTTTCTTCTCAGTGATTCAAATACATCCTAGTACTACACCCAATAATACTGCTGCTCTCATTTCACTGATTTAAAGAACACAGTAACACTGTTTCTGAATATATTAACACCCAATAATACTGCTGCTCTCATTTCAGTGATTTAAACAACACAGTAACACTGTTTCTGAATATATTAAGAAATTGTTATAGCGATACTATTGAGCTGACAGAAATTTGCTTCTCTGGTACTAGCAGTTCCAGTTCCCCGTTCTGGAAAAAACCCTGCAAACCCAAAAGGCTTGCAAACAAACTTTGATTAAATTAATTGCCTAATTAATCAAAAGAAATTACCTGCTTTAGTTGTCATCAAAAATCTCTGAACAGTGTGAGATTTACTGGTGATGTAGGTTAGTGGGATGTGCCACAAGTACCTATTGCAAAACAGAAGTGCTGTGTTTAATGAAAGAACTTTGCAAAAGCTTCTCCAACTTGTCCCGGTCTAACCATGGAGTAACACCTTCTGCTGGCGCAGTGACAGCGATGGACAGGCCGCACGCACACCTCCGACACCTGCGCAGAGCCAGACGCATCTGCCCAGCTTCGGTTCAGTTTGCTCAGGGGACCACTGGCAACGAAGCCGCAACAATATGGAGAAGAGGAGGCTGAAGGGAGACCTCATCGGTCTCTACACCTACCTGGAAGGAGGTTGTAGTGAGGTGGGGGTTGGTCTCTTCTCCCAGGTAACCAGCGATAGGACGAGAGGCAATGGCCTCAAGCTGCGTCAGGGGACGTTTAGATTGCATATTTGGAAAAATTTCTTTACTGAAGGAGTGTTCAGGCCTTGGACCAGGCTGCCCAGGGCAGTGGTGGGGTCCCCATCCCTGGAGGGGTTCAAAAACCGTGTGGATGTGGCACTTGGGGCCATGGTTTCATGGTTTAGCAGGCGTGGTGGTGTTGGGTTGATGGTTGGACTTGGTGACCTTAGAGGTCTTTTCCAACCTTAATGATTCTATGGTTCTATGATACGAACTCCAGTTCCAGCAGCGCGTTCCCAGCGCAGGCTCACCCCAATGCCCAGCACCACGGCTCTGCAGCTACCAGGACCGAGGTCCAGCAACACGAGTATGGCTGCGCAGGGAGCAACGCAGAGCCAAACAGCTCGGGGAGCACTCCCTAACAAAGTGCAGCAGAAGCTGTCGCTGTACATCAGCCTTTGCCCTACGAAAGCATTTTGGTTTGTGTGCCGAGATCACCCCTTTCTGTTTACCCCATGGACGAAGTAGAATCCTCTCCCGTCACATAGCGATCCTGCTGCAGGTGGACGTTCTTCCCTCTCACCGTGACAGTTACCAGGGGAAAACCTTTCTGCAGCGTCCAAGTGTCCATCATTGCCCGCACATCAAAAGTCTCTCCTTTAGTCCAATGCTGGGTTTTAGCGAGGGAAAAATGAGAGAGGTAAGAAGAGGAGGAAGATGGGACTGCACCGACAGTGAAACGGAAACAGGTACCCAAGAACTCTCAAAGCTGCGGGGTACTCATAAGCTCTACATAGACATGTTTAGACTGGATAGCATGACATCTCCACACGGTTTCCTTGTAGACATTTTCATATCGTTAATGACATCTCTTTAAGGACTGCTGTTTTTCAGCCCTGGGATTTCTGCCCCGTCTCAGAGAGAACAGACTTCCAGTGGAAATGAGGAAACTTACACTCTCCCTAGAACCATGCCCAAGTGTCAAAGAATGCTTTGGACTGTGCACCTATCAATGACATGGAATAGTAACATGAGAGGGCACAGATAAGTGTCAAACTCCTAAATACTGATGGGTAGAAAACTAGATGCTTACTGCATTTGAAGATGACTGTTCGCTTCTTCTGCAAAAACCATCACCTTGTAGTTCATTTTTATCACTACCTACTGCGGGGCAAATCTGGAAGGGGGAAAAAAAGTTTTGGTTATGTCTCTTTGATTTCGTAAGTACTGGTCACAGTCTTCAGTAATGTATTAGAGAACCACATTATTCATGAAAAGTTACGAAATTTGAAAAAAATTAGAGAATAAGGAATACTTGCATTTGTCATGCTGTTCCACAAATCTTCATTTTTTGTGTTCTGGTAGCTGTATTTCTGCAGGTACTGGACAAGTCTAGCTTTAAAGATGTCAGCAGTCAGGTAGTCGCTCAGCATATTTAATATACAAGATCCCTGAAAAAAAAGAGCGACAAAGTGTTTACAAACTACTCCTTAGCTGGCAAGATGCTTGTTTCAGAAAAATTTCAGCGTGCCGATTATCTGCGTAGCAGTTCACTTTTGTATGTCTTTCTGATTAAAAAATAATCGTGTTTTATGTACATTGAAACAGGACTTGCGTGATTTGTGGTCATCACTCTTAAAAATATCACTGATAGAGTAAGTTATGTTATCATTTTTTTAATTACTATGCAAGCCAGTACCATATACT